GTGAAAGTTCACATAGAAAATTAAGTTTCCATTCAACAGCTGATACACACTTTGTTTCAGCATCTGGGTAGTCACTTGATCTACCATCTTTAACTGACAGTGGTTGGCACACAATTTAAAGCACGTGTTCAGTGACATGATACAAACGGTAAGTGCTCTACCACAAACCTAAAGGCCAGTTGTGAGAGCCCACCTGGAGGCTTGGAAGAAAGGTCTGGCAGTCTGCGTCTCAAAGGTCACAGCTCCGTAAGTGTCTATTCCTCAAACTGTCACTCGACAGACAAGGTCAAAAAGGACACGACATCCCAGAACAATGACCATGACCCACAAGGAACCGCAGAGGAAAGCACTCTATCCACAATCCAAATGAAGCCCACTACTGTCAGTTCTGATTCACAGCGACCCTGGAGCAGTGACAAGCGGCCACAAGGTTTCTCAGACTGTCTCATTTCCTCCCTTGGAACAGCCAGGAGGTTCAAACAGCTGAGCCTCCGGTTAGCACCCAAGCTTCTACACCCGTAACTCCTCCACACATCACCAACCCTACAAGACGGCTAGACAATCAGACCAGCTTCAGGAAGGGACCCATGGAGATGCCGAAGGAGCCAAGGCCCCTGCTCCATAAACGACTGAGAGAACCTGGTCCCACAGCTGCAACACTGAACCAGAAAGGCCAGCCTCCTAAACCGAGGAATGGGGGTCTGTCTGGTAAAGTGGGGAGCTGTGGCAGCATCAGGCGGCTAAGACAGATGCCACCCTGGGGGAGGGGAGTGCTGCTCCAACAGATGCCTGAAACGCGTGCAGGTTTGGAATGGGGTAAGCAGCCAGGAAGAGTTCTGTCCAAATTGGAGGCTCTCTGGCTGCACGAATCCATCAGCCAGGGAGACAGCCGGGCAATCTCCTCCCTTGTGATTTACAGCCCTGGGAACGTGGTGATGGGTCAGAGGGAGCTAATAACAGCTCCTTGCAGACTACTGGTGGAATTCAGCCACTAAGGCATTTCTGGTGAAGGCTCAGCAGGAAAGGAGGAGAATTTAGCACCACAGCGGGCAGAGGCGGCACTGCAGCAGGAGGCCCAGGTGGGCTGGAGATGGAGATGCCACGTGACATCAGGGGGCTGACCGAGAAGCTAGACAGCTTCCAGTCTTCACGCAGGAGGGTTTCTGGGAAGTGAGGGGCATTACACACGGGCTGGGGGAGCTGGCTTGCCACCCCATAGAGTTAGGAGGCTGGGGCATTTTACTTGCAGAGCGGAATGCCTTTCAACACTCAGCTCAGGGTTTGAGAACTGTAACATCGCAGGACAAGACAGAGCTGGGCTGTCTCTTCAGTGTCGAGGAGCTCAGGAAGGAGAGCTGCTTCAGACTCAAAGGGTGAAGGCCACAACCTCTGGGACCTTCCGGTCCCCTAAATGTGGGACTCTACGGAGTCTAAGAGTAGAGTCAGTTCCCTAGGTTTTAAAGAGTGGGACCTCTGCACACTTGCTTCCAGAGCATGGGCCGCCTTTATGAGGGAGAGAGGGCCAAAGCTGATAGAGCAGGGCTGCCAAGGGGGCCAAGGAGGCAGTCACCACTCAGTTGCACTAGGAAAGTAGTGGGTCCTCCCCAGAGCTGATGCCCAGATCCTGCACTACTGGCCTCCTATGTTCAAGTGAGTATCTTTCTGTCAAAGCCAAAAATTTTAACTAAAACACAGACCTGAATTAAAGGCTCCCCACAGGCAGAATTTGCCACCTGCTCTTTCTGTTCAATCAACTATCTGTCTGTCTGTCACTTAAATTTCACAAAAGTAGTATTTTAAATCATATTACCAGAGAGCCAAGATAAAGTGAGCTATGTAAGGAACATCCTGTTTAACATTTAAAAGACAAAGTAAAAGAAGAACAAACCAAAGTCACTGTTGCCGACAAGTTGATTTCGACTCCTAGGGACCACGCAGGACAGAGAAGCGCCTTAAAGGGCTCCTGACACTTGTCTTTGTTGGAGCAGATGGTCCCACCTTCTGCCCTGAGAGCACCTGTGGACCCAAACCGCTGACCCTTCCATCAGCAGCCAAGTGATGCCAGCTGCTGCAGCACCAGGCTTCTTCAAGTGAAATGACTGTATGCTTGGAGGTGGCTCCCAGTTTCCTCCCCGAGGCTAATGCCAGTGGACTCTCTGCGGTTCAAGTCCACCAGCTACTCCAGTGGCCAAAGATGGGCAACTTCCTCCTGTGCATCTGAAAACCCACTGGAGCGTCAGCTATGAGTCAGTTCAGATTTGACTGTACACGACGGTAAAATAAAGGAGCCCTAGTGGCAGAGGGGGTTATACGCTGGGTTATTAACAGAAAGGTCAGAGGTTCAAACCCACTGGCCATTCCATGAGAGCTAGGCAGTCTCCACCCGCAGGAGTCACAGCCTCAGCAACCCACAGAGGGCTGCCAAGAGGCAAGAATCCTCTAAAGCAATGGGTCGCAGTTTTTATTCTGAACTGTGGAGCCGGGCCAGGCATGACAGACACAGCCTTGATGTCTCTCAAAGGCAGATTCCAGGCAAATCACAAATGGGAAACTTTGAGTGCAATCCTAACGTCCTACTCTTTATAAGGTGTGTCTGTCCTATTTCAAGGTCTCTTTGGCAAGTCAGCATTATGATAGAGAAGACAGACTAAGGGGCAGGGAGGAACATGATCCCGAGGACAGAAGGTCTGAGTTCGGGACCAACCTGGGGGGCATTCTCTTGCACAGGGGGTCTTGGGAACAAGCAGCAAGAAAGAATGCTTCCTTCAACATCAGTCCAGGTAAGAAGCCAAAAATGACAGTAGAAAAAGGCTTAAGGGAATCCTCCAATTTATAAAAAGCATACAGAATCCTCACACTACTATTTCTTTAAACTAAAACCTGCTGGGGTTGGGTCTACTTTGACTCAGTGGACCTCTCTAGGACCCAGGCGACAAGGCTGGAAGCTGTGAGGAGGCGAACTGCTGCATTTTGTTCCTCTGCAGCAGGCAGGTGCGTCTGAACCACCAACCTTAAGGTCTGCAGCCCAGCGCTTTAACCACTGTGCCATCAAGGCTCTTTTTCCAGTAGTCTCAAGATGCTAAGAGCTTGCTGCTGGATACCTCCACGTTGATTCCAATTTGCGGTGACCCTCTAGGCCAGAGCGGAATGCCCCATGGCTTTGCCAAGGCTGTGGGCTTTAAGAAGCCATCCGGCTCGCCATTTTCCTGTGGAGCAGCTGGTGGGTTCTAGCCACAGGGCACTCAAGTTGCACCGCCAAGCCTTCTTACTAAAAATTTAACAAAGGGTAATGGAGCTCTGGTGGTCTAGTGGCAAGAAGCTGCTCTGCAATCTCAGAGAGGTACGCAGTTCAAATCCACCAGATGCTCTGCCGGAGAAGGTGGGACAATCTCCTCTTTTACCGGTCAGATCTGATTTGATGGTACACACACAAAATAATAATAATAATAACAACCACCACAAAAAAAACCCATCAAAGTGTAGCTGATTCGATAATTTTTTTCTCTCCCTAGATGAATATAGATCTCTTTGAGTCAGTTGGCCAAGTGGTTGTCTTCCAGATTTCTTGGCACAGCTTGGTGAGCACATCCACAGCAGCATCTGTTAGCTGAAATATGTCAATTGGTATACCATCTATTCCGGGGGCCTTATTTTTTGCTATTTCCTTCAAAGCAGCTTGAACTTCTACTCGACGGCACATAACAACAACAACAGATGAATATAGCTCCAATGATGACAAATCCAACAGGTTGTTGGAACCGTTTTTTGTTCTACTGGCTTTTGGTCAAAAAGAACACGGGAGTACTAGGTAGCTGTAATGTTTCCAGATTTCCATCATTAATTTCTAAATTCCTTGTCGGCAGAATCCCACCCTAAGGGAAGGAAAAGCACCTGATGAGGCAGCATGGAGAGAGCTGTGGGTGAGACCCGGGAGCCCAGATCGCAGTCCTGTCCCCACTTGCTGGCCAATAGGAAGACCAGGTCTTGCTCTGCACCTTTCTGAACCTCAGTAGCCCCTCCTCCAGCCAGGATTCGCCCCCCCCCCCCCACTTCCCATTGAAATCACTGTTGCACCTGTCTCCCTCGGGCTGCTCAACTTTGGGAAGGTGCTAGGAGCACCTTCTTCTTGTCACCCTCCAGTTAACTTTTCATTAAAAACATCCTGAGATTCCCCGTTTACACTCTGCTGATGCCACCAGTGGGCCAGGCCCATGTCAACCCGGGCACCCCACTCCTCCCGGCTTACATCACTTCCTGTTACTCACTTCCCACGATGGCTCAGTCCTTCCCAACCCCACAACTCATCCCTCCGTGGCCGGACACCTGCCCTACCAAGCGCCCTTCCAGGTCATCAGAGACACTCTCAAAATAACCACATCAAACTCCAGGGCAGTTTGGGCAGACGGCATTCCAAGTCCCTGGGCTGGTGACCGGGACCCCTCTGTGCCTGAAACACCAGGACTCCACCTGGATCACTCCACCTGGATCACACCCCCTGGCTGTCTCCCCTGATCTCGGCTTCCTGCTGCGGGAGCACCTGAGTTACCTGTCACAGGAGACAGCAGGAAGAGCGGGGACGAGAAACGGGGCGACGGGCCTGGGAGGGGTGAGGACAGAGGGGGACCAGGGCCGAGGATGGGGTGGGGGGCCAGGGAGAGAAGGAAGGAGGCCACCCCGCGCCTCCCCAAACAAGACGCCGTCAGGACGGTGCCACCTCCGAGACGCGAAGGCTGGAGACAGACGCCCTCCCTGCACAGGTGAGAGCCACCTGTCCCCACGAGATGCGGGCGGCGAGGGGCCTGCGAGGCCCGCTCCCCACGCCGGCGGTCCCTGCACCCACCCGGGCCCACCCCGCCCACCTGGGGGCCACCCACCCACCTCGGTCCCAAGACCCCGAGGACACCCGCCCCACGGCCCCAGGATCGAACGCGAAGACCGCCACGCGTCTGCCTGCCACCCAGACCCGACCCTCGACCCTTGACCCCCGCCCCCGGCCTTACGTGTTGTCCTGGTTGAAGTTGGCGAAGAGCAGCTGGCTGGAGCCGGCCTCGCTGCTCTGACCGGCTAAGTTCATGGCTGGGGTGGCGGGCCGGGGCTCACGCGCGGGAGGGCGGGTCGGGCTGCGCTCAGGGTCAGGGCTGGGCCCCGCCGGCTGCTACGGTGGTTGCCACTCGCTGCTCGAAATCCAACTGCCGCCTCATCCCGGCCCCGCTCTTGTTTATGCTCCGGAGCCGGGCCTCCCAGCACGCCTGCGCGGCCACGCCCCCACGACGCACGGCGACGCACAGGGACGCACGGCGCAAGCGCGCTGCGAAGGCCCCGCCTCTCTACCCGGGGGCACAGCTCGGTTCCTAGAGAACACGCAGGCGTGGGGCGCGCTGGGCGCCGCCTATGGGCGTGGCGGACACAGCGCACGCGCATGGCAGAGTGGGGTGGGGGTGGGGGCACCTGCTCTGTGAGCGTCTGCATGATTTACTCTTATATTGAAATGTCACTTAGTGGGCTTAACCATTGTACCAAAGATTTATGTGCGCTCTCTTACTTGAGTCCCATAATAGACTCAGGCAGACGATTTTGTAACCCCGTTTTATAGATTTGAAGACTGAGTCTCAGAAATGCTCCTCTCTGCCCAAAGTCAACCAATAAACGTTGGATCTGAGACTAGAAACCGAGTTATATTAGAAAGTGAGGGTGCATATCTCGCTTCGAGTTGGGAATCATCTAGCGAAACCAAATAGTCCTAAATAATCCTCATTTTAAAGCCGTTTCTGACCAAAAATTAACACATCAGCAGTTTTTCCCCCACCCCACTCAAGGCTGGGGGTCTTTCCATTCTACTGTCGGTTTGAGTTTAGTAAAAAATCAGGGTAAAGCTCAGGCACTCTTGGTAAGATAAGTGATTTCTGGCTCTTGGAGGCCCAATTTTACCTAGCTTCTTGGAAGGATTTTCTTTTTCTGCAATCAGAAGGGTCTGCTTGCACGCATACGAAGTAACTGCTCAGAACAAACCTTATGTTTAAATTCCGCTGCGTTTTTAATTTATTTTAAGTTTTCCATTGTGATTTGAATGAAAGTTGGTAGAGCGAAGAGGTTTCCGTTGCTACAGCGCATGCACATTTTGATTAGTGACATTGGTCAAACCTCACAATATAACAGCACAATTCCCACTTCTTCCCTAGGTTTCCTGTTCCCATTTATTCTTCTTTCCTTTTCCTGCCTTCTGAGCTTATTCCTTGGGAAGGATACTCTTTTGATTTTTTATGGTCGATTGTTCTGGAAAGTCCTGTCTTCCTGGTGTTACTGATCAATTTGTAGGCGTCTCTCAGCTGTCCCTCTCTGACAGTTTGAATCCCCCAGTGACTCCAATGAAGAGATGGGCAATGTCCTCCAGAGTGATTTGTAGTCTTGCAAAACTGTGAGTTCTTCCAACTTGACACAATGAGTTGTTTTCACTTTCCGTTCTTGTCTAGCTGAATGAATTGAGATGAGTTTTGATTATTTTTAACAGTTATTTCTTCAAGGCCCTAAAAGATGACTTCTGAGCGAGGACCGCCCCACCCCTGCCCCCAAGTACATTCTCTCATCCAGTGGAATTTAACTAGCACCTTCTGTGTGAACTAAACAGGTCCCTCAAGGAAGTGGCAGTGGGGAAGATACTTAAATTAAGGCAAAGTCCTGGAAATTGACAGCACACCAATTGACATATTTCAACAAACTGATGCTGCCCTGGATACACTCACCAAGTTGTGCCAAGAAATCTGGAGGACAACCACCCAGCCAACTGACAGGAAGAGATCGATATTTGTTCCCATCCCAAAGAAAGGTAAACCGACAGGGTATAGAAATTATTGAACAGTATCATTAATTGTTGCAGACCGAGGGTCCCAAAGAATAGAATAATTTTATAAGTAATAATAAAGAGACAAACAGCCAGATATGAGATAGAGCAGAGAGTGTAAAACAGGGCAGTTCTCGACTGAAGACCTCGAGCCATGCTTCTCTGTGTATTTATATAGAATCACAAGGAAGTACAAAACAAAGGATAATGGTGAAATCTTTTACAGATAAGGCCAAGTTACTCTTTATGCTAATCTCAAGAGGGAGGGATTAATTTGATAAAACTAAGAACAATGTTGACTCTTAAGGAGTGTCCCAGTGTCACAAGGTGACCTCCTAAGGAATGCCACAGTGTCACAAGGTGACCTTCAGCTTGTATTAAGCCTCTCTCATTTCCCGATATAGCATTTGGTCTACTATTATTAAATTTGATATTCGGCTTCCCTCATTTCCCCCTCTTTTGTTTAAATCATAATTTTGAGATCATCAAGATGAGTATAATTTTTCTTCTTCAGGATTCATTCTTGCTTGTCTCTTAATCCTTTATATATAATCAAACAAATATAAGAAAGCAAATATGAGAAAACAAAATAAGTTCACAAAAACACTTCCAATAAAGCAGCATTCCCTGAGGATCAGCTTCCATTGTCATGTTGCCATAGTCCCCACCAAAGCCAGTTCTGATTAATCTCCTTTGTCCATGCGTCCTTTGCCATTCCCTGTCACTCCTCCCTGAGAGAGACCTCACCCTGATTCATAAGGAAAATGGGGCGGCAGACTCTCTTAGCTACTTCCTGCTGAAAAGGGATGCTGTAGGTTTCAGGGTGAAGATCTTCTCTCACTACTCTGAATGGCCCTTTGGCAATAGGAAACACATACTTTTGAGGAGATTGATTTTGGAATTTAAATGCACTGTTATCAATTGTGCTTAGGGATACACGTTCATATC